GTGAAAAAATGTGTAAAGATTTGCCTGAAGTGACTTATTTGATATGTGGTAATTCAGCTACATCAATAGTACCTCAACATAGCTGTCAGCACTTATATATTGACAATTAATACTGCTTACATTCAAAGYACTTGACAGAACTTCTTAAAGAAATGATTCATATATTTTGGATTTGTATGGCAAACAAGAATAAAAAGGAATTTTCAGTATGATATATACTCTATATATACACACAGACATGTATTTAATCATGCTTTTATAGCTTTATTGGTTAATACAGACGTTTTACCCCTGCATGACTTGTCTGTACTTCATAAATATCTTTCTTTGTTTAGCTTTTAAAATTTTAGTTAATACTAGCTGCTAGCAATATGCAAATTGAAAAAAAAAAATAATTAGGCCTCTAAACACTGGTTTCTTAGAGCTTGTGACATTCTCATGTTTGTCTAATGGACATTTGCATCAAACTTCATTTTGCTGTATGTGAGGCCATTTGTGAGTATGGCTGATGATAACATGAATGCGGACTTGAATTACCCATCTATGRCAAACTGTCACAGTTAATTTAGCATAACAAAAGACTTTATTATATTTAATGGAATCAGGYCACTAATTAATGAAAGTAAATTCAGGAAAATATCAACCTTCTGATCCCCAAAATGGCAGTTATACTATTCTTATTTCAGATTGAAAGAACAGAAATCACACTGCAGCATTCATTTTCCAACATATTTTCTCCTATATATCACAAATAACAACAATAGAAACTGCAGTAGTTTCGATTGTGAGCTCCAATTAAGTTGCACTGACATGCTGGAATGTTTATGTCATTGCAGGTAATCTATGAATAATTTGTACTCAAGGCAAGTAACAATACATGAACTATAACCTTGTTATGACTTTGCGTTTCTACACTTTTGCACCCATCTGCTTTCCTCTACACTTGATTAACCAAGCTAAGATAACCTAAGCCTGTTGTGGTGGTACAGAAAATGTTCACAAATTATAGCCATGTCACTCCACTCCAATTTTTATCTTGTCCACATAGCACAACAAATTGATTTGCTGTGGCAATAAACAGTGAAATAGTCTCTTCAGTGTCTCGTAATTAGAACTAATACTAGTAGACAAATTAAAAGGCAGCAAAACAAAATGTCTCCATCAGGCACTTATAATAACCTTCATAATACATACAGTAGATGTTGTGAAGACTAAGGTGGATAAATGAGGAGAATGCTGATTTTGGCATCCAGCTTACTTTCAGATAATTTAGCTCATCGCTCTTGGCTGACACCAGACCAAGAATAATATTAAAGAGTAATAAACTCCTTCCAGCAAACCTCTGATTCCATGGTTCACTGGTCTCAGACCTAATCTATCAATCCATTTACTGCACAGTAAAAGGTARGAAACCCATTACAGATCTGTTACATGCCATGGCAGGTGGTATATGACAAGAACTGAATTCATCACAAACTCCAGTGCCTGGTACCCTTTTGTATGCTTTGAAGCACTAGGTGGTTACCTTACTTGGCTACCACAGCAGAAGATGCTTTAAGCTTTGAAAATAAATGAAAAATTCTTGATGTGAAAGCATAAAAATGCTCATAAAACACTTCATTTTTCATAATATTAAGACTTCACAAGGATAGTGCTATTTTCATTTTTACAAGAAATACTGGCTTTGGAGAGAGTACAATAAGCAAAATCAGGATAGAATTTAAAAGTCACGCCTTTCAGATGCGGGCTTTAATCTTCATTCTCYCCTTAAAACATACTGTCTTAGGTAACAGCCCATTAGAATCACTATTTAATAAAGTTGTCTAAATAAATGGCATGTTAAAATTTTTACTATCCAAAGGAAAAAAAAAAAAACAACTATTCATATATCTACTCTCAAGGTCACAAGCACTGCTATAAACATCCAAAAGCAAAGACAATTCTGAACTAAAAGCTAAAAAAGATACTYTTATGTGACTGCAATTCCTTTCATACTAAATTTCTTTTCTAGGTTATTTCYATTGCTGTAGGGCAACAGTTTCTGACACTGTAAAGATGGTTTGAACATGACTTATTTCAGATACATCACCTTGAAGGTTAAGACTCACAGGTGTTGTCCCCTATTCCCCTGCTTGGCAGATCAAGGMAAARCAAAAATTTGTGATAACTTTAGGARATATTTGGCTACATTCTCAGCTGGTGTAAATTGTCACAGCTTCTCTGAAGCAAACAGAATTGCTCTAGTGTGCACCCAATAAGGACCTACCTAACATTATTTATGTAACTGTCATGTATGTTTCATRTCTTGAAAATAATATAATCCTGCAAAATAAGATAATCATAAATGGCAGACTGTTAGAAGTTCATTTCCAGCAGAGATGCTGGAAAACAAAACAAACAGAAACAAAGGATTAAAATATAAGATACACTTTTAAGAGGGGGTGGAGAGACAGATGTCTCCGTGTGATGATGTTTGACCACTGTGCTTTGAGGAACACAAAAAAAAAAATATCCTCATCAAAACAACTGGCAACAGAATTCTCCTCAGGTGACCTAAGAAGTTTGCCTGATATAAAAGTGCCCATCTTTGGCTTGCAGTAAATATCTGTGGATTTTTTTCAGTGTTTAAATATCTATAGCTGAAGAAAGAGAATTTTAAGTTCCCCTGTCAGGCTTGCAGAGTTTCTCTCCATGATTTCTAGTTTTATTACCGAGCCTAGATTTTCAGGGCAGAAAGCGAAACAAAGAATTGAGGCTTCCTACACAAATCATGAGGAACAGCAAAAAAATATGCAAATGAAAAAAATAATTATTTTTCTCTTCAGTATCATTGGGAAAATCGTACTGAACCCTTCTTGCAGCTTCTAACTTTTTTGTTTTGTTTTGTTTTCTACATCYGTCAAGATCACAGARAAAACAGAAAACCTGAGRAATTGAACACTTTCAGAGAAAATKTATGGATYTGAGTAATGYAATTTTCAAAYTTARKTTCTKTTCATTTAAAAATAAACCAAAAATACCCATAAAAAAACCCAAACCACAATATTATTCAGATTTGTTACATTCAGAGACCAAGGGACAGGGAGAACTCAGTTTTATACACCTCCATAGGTAGACAACTGAAATAAAAATGATATTATTAAGTAATGATCTCAAATGGAAGATTAATTTTCTTGGTTTAGTTTCTTTCAGTAGTAAATAAAAGTTTTCAAGCAGTAAATTTAAAGAATTTTGCCAGACACATTAGATCTTGGAGAAACAAAATTATAAAAATTCAGTAAATTGTAACAATTCATTACACAGGARTTTTGTCTCTCACATGTCACCCAAACCTAAGTACTGTCAACAGCATTCATGGTTGCTCTGACTGTGACAAYCAACTTGAAACATTTTACATTAGCCAGCAGAAAATGAAAATATAAAATTTTAGGTATATGCCTAGTCAGTAAAAGGCTACATTCAGTGAAAAATTGCAGATTTTCTTACAATATATTTATGTAATCTGACCAAAAAGAAAGTTTTTTCTTGAAAACTAATGTGTTTTTTTTTTGTTTGTTTTGGTTTTTTTTTTTT